CCATGGCTCGCGAGGCTGATCTGGCAAACGGATGGCGTGACTAGGAGTTCCCGAGCATACAACACCTTGGTGTTTTGGCCTAATCCAACAAGGCGAGGGTGAAACGCCAGTTCCCCTCGAGCCATCCAAAACATCGCCATCGCAGCGATGATCATGCACACAGCGCCCGAGCCTACGGATGATGAGGCCAAGCGCATCCACAAGGAGATCTGAGGACTGCTGGAGTCCGCAGCTGTGCAACAAGCATAGATCTTGACAAACTGGAGATGGCCCAAGGCCAGCAGCAGGCCTAGCTCATGCGCCCACAGCGCCCTTGTCTGGCACTGTGCGGAGGCCAAAGTCCAGTCCACCAAAAATGGGACAGCGCGCAGCCAGTTTGTCGGCCACTGCAACGCTCGCAAGCCTGGCCCAGTAGATCACGAGCTTGGCCCAAGTAGATCGCAATCAGCATGATCCAGCGGCCATGAGCATTATCAGCATGACCGGGATGCTCAACGCAGTCTAAGCCCCGATTACTATGGGCTGCAAGCGTTCACAAGAAGGATCCGACAAGCACCCTTCCCGCCGTGGTTCCGCGCACCACCCAACATCGTCAAATACTCCGAGGACTTCAAGCCTAGCATATGGCTCGAGGACATCCGCCTCGCATGCCACGCTGGCGAGGAGGATGATGACACCTTCATCATCCAGTACCTACCCCTCTACCTTGTAGAAAGCACGTGAGCCTAGATCGAGCACCTCCCCACCGACTGCATCCACTCATGGGTAGACCTCAAGCGCATCTTTGTGGTGAACTTCTAGGGCAATTACATGCGCCCTAGCAACTCTAGGGACCTCAAGAGCTATAAGCTAAAGACTGGGGAGATTCTCTGAGAGTACATCCGCTGCTTCTCCAAGCAGTTCAATGAGCTCCTCGATACCATTGAAGCAGATGTAATAGAAGCATTCATCTTCAGTACCACCGATGAATCTCTTGTCCATGAGCTTGGACACAACAAGCCATGGATGACATGGGAGTTGCTCGACCTCACGACCATCCATGCCTCCAACAATGAGGCTGTCCGGGCCAACTTCAACATGAACGAGGGCAAGGCCCCTACCGAGCTAGCGAACTGGGCTAGGGACCACACCTGGCAAGGAAAGGGCAAGAAGGACAAAAGCACCACGACGCCAAGTTCATCGTGGCAAACGGCATAGCCAACAAATAGAAGACCAGTAGGACCACCAACCCCAATAGCTTCAAAAAGTTGATGATGGGGCCATGCTGTAACCATGGCTACCCTATCAAGCACGCCCTCAAGGACTGCGACCTCCTGAAGCGCTACCTCAAGACCGAATATAAACTGGCTGGCAAGGAGAAGCTGACGGAGCCCACCGGCAATGAGGAGAAAGGTGATGCATTACTCGACCCGAAAGGGTACCACATGATTTTTGGTGGGCCTGCTACCTATGAGGTTAAGCGCAAGAAGAAGCTCACGACCAGAGAGGTCAATACGGTCGTTTCCTCGAAGGAAACTGTACCCACTTACCTAATGTGGTTAGAGGCCACGATCACCTTCGATAGGTCCGACCACCCTGACCACATTCCTCTACCGAGCTGGTTACCTCTCGTCATCGACCCTATCATCAGCAAGATGTGCCAAACCAAGGGCCTATCGTGAGCAGCGATATGGCCCATCGGCGGGAGTGGTCTAAACCTCCTCTACGCTGAGATGGGCGGCAGGAGCGGTCTAAACCTCCTCTACGCCAAGACGTATGACACCATGGGCTTGTCACAAGCAGCGATATGGCCCAACCGCACTCAGGCCATACCCCTTAGGTAGGTCAACCTACCTGTAACATTCGGTTGTTGCACCAACTTCTACACGAAGGTGCTTACCTTCGAGATAGCAGATTTTCTAGGGGCGTACAACATGATTTTGGGCCGGCCATGCTATGACAAATTCATGGCCATCCAACTACACATACCTCAAGCTCAAAATCTTGGGGATAGGTGGGGTCATTACCATGGGTGACGATGTTCGCTAGGCGCACATCTATGAGTGGGAGAACTATGACATCATGACGGCCGCATGCTCGGTCCCTGAGCTTAGGGACATCCAGGCGACCACAGTCAAGTTCAAGCCCAACTCGAGCGTAAAGAAGTAGCCTCTAGGGACCTTCAAGCCCGTTGAGGACACCAAGGTAGGGCAGATCGACCCAGGAGATGCTAGTGAGATGGTTCAAATTGGCAGTGGCCTCTATGAGCAATAGGAGCGCGTGCTCATCAACTTCTTTCTTGAGAATCGGGACATCTTTGCATGGAGGCGCTCTGACAAGTTGGGAATCCTATAGGAAGTCATCGAGCACAACTGGGACGTCCTGCTTGGCGCCAAGCCAGTCAAGCAGCGTCTGCATGGCTTTGATGATGAGAAGTGGAAGGCCATCGGGGAAGAGATCGCTCAGCTCCTAGTAGCCAGATTCATCAAAGAGGTGTTCCAACCCGAGTGGATAGCCAATCCTGTTTTCATGTGGAAAAAAAGAATGGGGCATGCATTGCGTATGTGTGTCAATTACATAAATCTAAACAAAGCATGCCCGAAGGTGTTGTACCCCTTGCCACGTATCGATCAGGTGGTCGACTTGACTACAGGGTGCGAAACCTTGTGCTTCCTGGATGCGTATTTAGGCTACCACCAGATTGCGATGAAGGAGTCCGACCAGTTCATGACTCCCTTTATCACTCCGTTTGGTGCCTACTGTTATGTCACCATGTCATTCGGGCTCAATAACATCATAGCAACATACCAAAGATGCATGAACAAGTGTCTTGGTGAGCTCTAGATCATCGAGGTCTACAGTGACGACATCATTGTCAAGTCAAGGAAGGCCAACCAGTTGGTCGACAACCTGAGGGCAGCATCCACCCGCCTTTGGGAGTTTAGAATAAAGCTCAATACCGACAAGTGCATCTTTGGGGTGCCCAAAGGAAAGCTCCTTGGGTTTAATGTTTTCGAGCGCGGCATCGAGGCCAACTCGGAAAAAATTGGAGCGATCAAGAATCTAGGCCCCATGTCAATCCTGAAGGGCGTCCAGAAGCTCATGGGTAGCCTCCCTTAGCCGCTTTATTTCACGGCTTGGAGAGCGTGGCATGCCTCTTTACAAGCTATTAAAGAAGTCCGACCACTTCACGTGGATAGGCGAGGCATAGGGGGACTTCGAGAAGCTCAAGGCTTTCTTGGCAACGCCTCCGATCCTGGTGTCGCCTGAGAAGGATGAACCACTCCTCCTATACATCGCCACGACCACACAGGTGGTGAGTGCGGTGCTTGTCATCGAGCGAGATGAGGCAGGGGGCACTCACAAGGTGCAGAGGCTGGTATACTTTGTCACCTAGGTCCTCTCTGACACAAAGGTGTGTTACGCTTAGATCCAAAAGTAATATACGCAGTTCTTATTACCAAACGCAAGTTACTACATTATTTTGTGGGGCACCACATCATGGTTGTGGCATCGGCCCCACAAGGGGAAGTAATCCAAAATCACGACGCCTCTGGTCACATCGCTATGTGGGTGACATAGCTCATGGGCTATCATATCTCGTATGTCTCGAGTACGGCGATTAAATCACAAATCCTCATGGATTTCATCGCCAAATGGACCGAGGTGCAAACACCTCTGCCTCTGACCAGGCAGGAGTACTAGACAATGTACTTCGATGGCTCGCTCATGGCCGTGGGCGCCGGCGCCGGGGTCATCCTCATCTCTCCCAAAGGGGACCGCCTCAAGTATGCGATCTGCCTTCACTTCTAGGCAATCAACAACATGACTGAGTATGAAGCCCTCATCCATGGGCTTAGGATCGCTTCCGAGCTCGACGTGCACCACCTCTACATCAGAGGAGACATGGAGTTGGTCGTGAGTCAAGTCATGAAGGAGGCATCGTGCCGCGACGAGAAGATGGTATGCTGCACTTTATTTCTTCCTCAATATTTTCCTTATATTAGTTTGGTCTATGTATACTTAAATGTTTTTAAATTTATATTGTATTGCTTTTTTTCATAAATATGTGATTATCAATGTTTCTTTTGGAGATTCTTTAATGTCATAAGATCTTTACGTCTTATATGGGCCAATTGGTGCTCAAACTTTACAGTTTGTCTAGTAGATTATGGCATTGAGGGCTTAGTAGTTAGTCATGAAATCCAAAGGGTGGAGATGCTTTACCAGTTGCAGGGAACCAGAAGAGCCTGAAGAGGCTACTTATTTTAGTTTTATAATTTTTTTAGACACCACTTTAACGTTAGTATAGGCAATATACTAGAACCCATTATATTCGATACTCAAAGCCGTCCTTCGCATGCACACACATAGTACTAGTATCACATTCATTTGTAAATATTTGACGTTTTGCACATTAATACTCTACTCATTGTTTTGAATAATGCCTTTTATATTAAACATGTGTTAATTACATTGTGAAAAAAATCATGATAAATCCACTCATACTACCATATATGACCAATTTAATTGTTCCTTTGTAATTACTATTCCCTCTATGTCTCTAACTATTCTAAGTTTTATGAAATTATATCTAGAAAAAAGCATTGCTATTTATGATAACAAATAAATATCCCATTTTGAAACATATTTTAGCATTTTGATTTTTAGTAGATTAATATCTTCTATATAAATTTGATGAAATTTAGAAGAGTTTGGACAAACTCAAGAGCCCTTATTATATTTTGGTAGGGATGAAGTACAACTTAGTGAAAGGGGATTGGAGAGACTTCCATAGTATGTGCGTGTCACCGATATATATAATGGCGAAAAGAGCTAGTTCATCAAACAGATCAAATGATCAACTATATTATGTGATATTGCAAGCTTCGATTTCTTTTCTTCATTCTTGATCTTAATTGTTCTGATCACTGTTCTTACTATGGTAGTCACTAAGGAAGAAACATGTCCACACCGAGAAGCATGCAAGACCTACATTATTATTACTATCTCGCACATAATTAGTTGGACTCGGCGGCAGTCGTCACTGTTGCAGTTGCAGCCGTACCGCCCTTCTCGTTGGTCTCATGTGTTGTCGGCAGAAGGTGGGGAGGTGGAGGTGGCGGGAACGGTTCCGTTGGAGGAATGGGAGGATGGAAGTGTCCGATGCTGATCTTCCACGCAGGCGTAGCATCAGCGCCCCCGGTGACCATGACGAGCAGCACAATGGTCACCGCCGCAAAGGCGAGGAGAAGCGGGCGAGGACGATGGCAGATGGTCGCCATCATTTATATTTATCTGTGTTACTCTACGCACGATGCACCTACTTCGTATCACTGCTATATAAAGAAGTGGGCTGCCAGTTGCATAGCCGGTTAATTCGATAGTGAAACAGGCAAGAATTAATAATTTTATATAAATAGTGCCAACTATAAATGGATAGACTTAATATATCTATCTATCTATCTATCTATCTATCTATCTATCTATCTATCTATCTATCTATCTATCTATCTATCTCTCTCTATCTCTCTCTCTCTCTCTCTATCTCTATCTCTATCTCTATCTATATCTATATCTATATCTATATCTATATCTATATCTATATCTATATCTATATCTATATCTATATCTATACAAGAGAAAGAATTGAATGAAAAAATAAAAAATAGCTCTCATCTAAAGTTTCATATCCACCTATTGTTAGGACCGTCAGATGATTAATTGCCTTTAGATCTAATGGTACACGTTAATTTGATTGTGGGCCACATCCATCTTACACATCTTACATCTTCATCTTACGCGTTCATGCTATACAAATCGTCTTAGACGCCCTCCCCCACGCTATCTTTGTTTCACCCAAAAGCAATATGCACCCTCGTGTATCCATTGTGGGCCAGGAGAGGTCGGAGCTCATCGAGTCAATTCCCTTATGGACCTGGCGGAGAAAGCTTTCCCTACCAAACCTTAAATCCCTCCCAAATCTGTGCCCCTCCTATCACCATCCACCGGGTTGTTGTTGACGAAATCTGGTCGACAGTCTACTGAGGGGTTTGTCTACGGTAGTAGATGAATTGGTGGAGGTACGCATAATAGGAGCCGGATGGTGACACAGGCGCATAGACAAGCGATTTAGACAGGTTTAGGCCATCTGATCGACGTAATACCCTATGTCCTATGTCTTCGGTGGATTGTATTGAATATGAGATGCATTCGAGGGGGGTCCCTACCCACCTTACATAGTCTGGGAGTAGGGTTACAAGTCGGTTTAAGTCTAGATCTATTCAGCCATACGGTAAGTATTTACAAGGAATACGATATCTATCATATCCGAACAGATCTTCCTTCATTGACAAGATGTCTTCTGATTGCCTTGCGGTGCACGCTGACTAGAGCCGAGCACCGTAGGCCTTGATCTTATGGGCTGGACCTCCCCTAGTGGTGCGGCCCATGTCCATTGCCATGGGTACCTAAGGTTATACCCCCCACAGCTAGTCCCCGAGTGCCTTATATCCGCTGAGCAACGCCGTCTTGAGCAGGTCAGAGCAATTTGACGTGAAGCCGATCCATTTAACTGGTGAACTGAGCGGTGAAAGTCGAAGCCGACCAGTTTAACTGGTGAACTGAGTGGTGAAAGTCAAAGCCGACCGGTTTAACTGGTGAACTGAGTGGTGAAAGTCGAAGCCGACCGGTTTAACTGATACGCATATCTCGGACTTAGCCAAGTAAGGCTTCCCAGAAGGAAGTAAGAGGCTTAGGGTAAAAATTTAAAAATTCTCCACCTTAGACGAAGTGTAGCCACTTAGACTCCGTTTGTGAGGAATCATCCATGATTTAGTCAATAAGGAGGGTGAATCAAGAAAAGAGCACGACATTCACCGCTAGGTGAAGTGTAGCCACTTAGTCCCCGAGCCTGTTGGAAGATGAAGAATGAATCTTGTGGTAGGGACAAAGAAAATAAATCTAAAAGCTTGCCGACATCATCTGACATCAAGACCTAGACGTGCTGCCTAAGATCAGCACCCTGATTCGAACAGCATGGAGCAAGCTGATAGCATACCGATGAGACATAGCAAGATCCGACTGCCAAGGGAGTCCCTAGCTTAGCTAGTGACTCTTGCACGAAGAATCCGAACGCTGAGTCCCTAGCTTAGCTGGCGATGAAGCGATGAACAATCCAAACGCCGTGGAGTCCCTAGCTTAGCTGGCGAGCCCCTAACATAGCTGACGATAAAGTGATAGACAATCCGACCAGTTGGTTGGCGAAGAATCGAGCACCTAGCAGTCCAACCAACTGGTTAGCGGCGAAGTGAGTGCCAAACAATCTGACCAACTAGTTGGCGATGAAGGTCATGAACCTAGCGGTCCGGACAGTTGATCGGCGGAGAAAATAGCGGCGGAGCTTGCCGGAGACATCGACCTTAGGTGAAGTGTACACACTTAGACTTCATTGGGGAAGTCAGATGATCATCATCCATGACTTAGTCAAAGAGGATGCTAGTATTGATACATGCGCCACATGGTGCAATGTATACATTGTAGTCCCCAAGCCTGACAGTAGATGAAGAAGACACCTGGTGTAAGGATCAAAGAATTTTAACGATCACATAGTTAAAACAACCAATTCCCAGCTTAGTCGAGCACACAGCTAGTCCCTAGCTTAGCTGGCGAGCCCCCAGCGTAACTGACGATGAAGCGACAGACAATCCGACCAGTTGGTTGGCGAAAAGAATTAAGTACCGAGCAGCCCAACCAATTGGTCGACGGCGAAGTGAGCGCCGAGTAGAAGTGAACACCGAACAGTCCTACCAACTGGTTGGAGACGAAGTCATGAACCTAGCGGTCCGACCAGTTGATCGGCGGAGAAATCCGAAGGCTAGATGGTGCGACCACCCAGATGATGATCCCTCAATACAAATATATAGGACGGGTAGTACATGATTTGAAAATAAAATATATGAACTCTATGATGAAGAAAACAGAGCGGAGTTTATCAAGAGCAATGTATTGGTGAATTTTATATCCTGTAGAGCAGTTTATGTTTATTTGGAGTTTATTCATATTTGTATAAAGGACGAAATCCCCGTGCTTAGCACTAGACATTGGAGTAAAATTTGGATAGTGCTGAGCACTTAAAAATTGATAGAGTACTTAGCAATTGACCGTGGCGAATTTTGGAGAGTGCTTAGCACTATACCATGGCGAAATTGGAGAACATGGAGAGTGCTTAGCACTTTACCATGGCGAAATTGGAGAATATGGAGAGTGCTTAGCACTATACCATGGCGAAATTGGAGAACATGGAGAGTGTTTAGCACTATACCGTGGTGAAATTGGAGAACATGGAGAGTGCTTAGCACTATACCATGGCGAAATTGGAGAACATGGAGAGATTTGGAGAACATGGAGAAATTTGGAGAACATGGAGAGATTTGGAGAACATGAAGAAATTTGGAGAACGTGGAGAGATTTGGAGAACATGGAGAAATTTGGAGAATGTGGAGAGATTTGGAGAACATGGAGAAATTTGGAGAACGTGGAGAGATTTGGAGATTGCTTAACACTTAACCATGGCAAAATTGGAGAACATGGAGAGTGCTTAGCACTATACCATGGCAAAATTGGAGAACATGGAGAGTGGTTTGCTTCGGTGCCATGGTGACTAACGACGTTGCCTAGGAGTATACCAGATGGAACACCGAATATGCACTTAGTGGGATTCAGCTTTCATTGGAATTTCTTTAGGTTTTGGAATATTTCTTCGAGGTCAGCGATGAGGTTGTCAGCTGTCTAAGACTTAACTACCACATCGTCGACATAGGCCTCGACATTCTTCCTAATTTGGTCCTAGAGGCATCACTGGATAGCCCTCTGGTAGGTGGCGCCGGCGTTTTTTAGCCCAAAGGACATGGTGGTGTAGCAATAGGCACCGAAGGTTGTGATGAATGAAGTTTTGATCTAGTCTTCCTCCTTTAAGGAGATCTAGTGATAACCAAAATAGCAATTGAGAAAAAGCACAAGAGCTCACAACCGGCTATTGAATCTACGACCTCGTTAATGCAAGGTAAGCCAAAGGGGTCTTTAGGGCAGTGTTTGTTGAGATCGGTGTAATCAACGCACATTGTCCATTCATTATTCTTTTTTCGTACAAGGACTGGATTGGTGAGCCACTCCAGGTGATGGACCTCTTTAATAAAGCCAGCTACTAATAGCTGAGTTATTTCTGCCCTAATAGCCTCCTTTATGTCGTGCACGAATCATCGGAGCTTTTGCTTGATCGGTTTGGTGGTCGGTGAGATGTTTAAGGAGTGCTTGATCAGCTCCCGAGGAATGCCAGGCATGTTAGCAGGTTTCCATGCAAACACATCGACGTTTCTATGGAGGAAGCTGACGAGCGCATCTTCCTATTTGGGGTCGAGATGGGCCCAAATCCAAGCCATCTTGCTTCTGTCACCGATCATGAGCTCAACCTTCTTTGTGTCTTTGGACTTAGTCGTAGACCTAGGTGGCTCCTAAGTCAGGATCGCCTGCTCCTCCACTGGGACCTTCTTGGAGTTGGCGATGCAAGCCTCCATTCTAGCCGAGAGATCCATCGCATTAGCGATGGCGAGTCCTTCTCTTTCGCAGTCGTAGGCGGTGGAGATGTTGGCATGCATGGTGAGAATGCCCTATTCCATCGGGATCTTCAACACTAGGTAGACATAATGGGGCACGACCATGAACTTGGTGAGAGCTAGTCGGCCAAGGATGGCGTGGTAGGTGGTGTCAAAGTCTGCCATGAAGAAGTACACGTACTTAGTATGGAAGTGGTCAGTGATGCCAAACTGGACTGGCAAGGTGATCTGCCCCAAAGGTTTGGACGCTCTACCAGGTATAATCCCCTAGAATGGAGAATCAATAGGGACAAGATCATCCTTTGTGAGGCCTAACTCAGTTAGGGCTCCAGCCAAGAGGAGATTGAGAGCACTCCCACCATCGATGAGGACCTTCTTGAACCGCACGTTGTGGATGGTGGGATCCAGTACGAGTGGGAAACGCCCTAGGTATGGGATATCCGCCCACTGGTCGGCCCTACTAAAGGTGATAGGGTACTCTGACCAGTCCAGATATTTAGGATCAGTGGTCGTGTCGTACTTGGTGATCGACAAGACCTGCCGAGCAGTGAGTTTATGCTAGCGTTTGCTCTCAGAGGCGGCGTACCCTCCGAAGATTGTGGCAACGGTCTTGTTGGCATCTTGGAAAGTGGGTCGTGCATCCTTAGGACGCTCCTCCCCCTTGTCATCAT